TTTCCGTTACACATGTAGTGCCCTGACTGTTTACACTACGCACGCTGGCGTCCAACGTTTTGTCATTCATTGAAGACTCTATCCCTCATGACTACGTACACAATTCCTCTGCCTGTACAACCTTCGGCTTACTGCCGACTACACTCATAGCAACGTTTTTGTTGCGAAGAAATATTGCATGTAAATATTGATCATGCTTTGCTTGGTGTGTCTCGACAAATTCCAGAATAAACTATTTATTTATTTATTTAGTTCGGATAATAAATCAGCTCATACTGAGTTAATTCAAGTTCTTGTTACGGCTAGAAAAACAAACACTTTCAACGAGAATATCTGCTGTAAATCAGGCTTTTAAGCCTCAACTTTATAAGCCAGGTAATGAAACAGCAAAGACATGTGAGACCAAGCGAGCTGAACGCATCAGTCAGAGAGCAAGTGAGTAAGATGTGGTGAGAGTGCGATAAGCGTATCCTAGCATTAAATGGCATTAGGATAAATAATTCGGAGCACCAGCAACCAAAGCATGGAAATATAAAAGGATCTGAGGAAGTGCCAAACCTGAGTTAATAAACCTCAGTCGCGCACAAGCTCTAAGAACACAGGCGAGACATGCAAGACGAGGCTGGAGTAGGCTGAAAAGTGAAACTTATCTGCCCAGCAGATGTGCGGTGACAATTAAAGTGGCAAGCAGAGCTCCAGGACACAAAATCAGAGCCAATGTTTAGGAAGTACCATACGGACGTCAAAGAGACGAAAGGTGTGAGGAATCAGCCGTTACTGAGCTATTCCCAGATAGCAGGCATAGGTTCCTAAGATCAGGGTGAAGCGGGATCAAGAAAAGGGTAATGATGCAAGTTAGCATAAACTCAAGGTGATAAGGCTTGGAAGGTTAATGTGCAATAGCCGGGGCCTGGTTAAGGTTAGAATAAATACCACGGATGTATCTGCTGTAAGCCAGGCTTTTAAGCTACAACGGTCTAAGCGTGGCAAGGAAACAGCAAAGAGAGGTGAGGCAGTGCGGGCCGAACGCACCTGGATGATGACAAGCAAGCCAGCTGAGGCGAGAGCTGGATATATGGCTCAAGCAACTAAGCGAACCGTCGCACTAACATGGCTTTAGGGTAAAAAGTGAGGAGGAACAGCAATCAAAGCAGGGAAAGAAAGAAAGCAGCTGCGAAGAGCTAAAGTTGAGTGAGTATACCTCAGACGCCTAGCAAATGCTATAAAATAAGCGAGATAGCTCTGTTAGGACTGGATTAGACACAGAACAGCGACCATGCGACCCTGCGGAGGTGTGGATGACACAGTATTTTCGGTAGAGGACTACTGGCTAATTATTTAACCATACGTCAATTCCGACATGCCTTGAAAGGCCGCTCCTTAGTCGCCTTCACCGTTTACAACCCTGGACTTACGTGTTTAGATCGACTACCGACTCACACCATATAGATTATATCGCTCAGTTTACGACTGATATACGACGACTTCGGTGTGCACACCGCTGTCACCAACACACCTCCCGAATTCAAGCAATCACTGCTGAAGCCGGCAAAGTTATCGACTTGGCAGCTACGGCCACAGTGCAATTCAATGATACTGAGTTTGAAATAGTAAGCAGTTCTCGCTCACTGGACATACGAACGGTCCCGCTGACCTATTTATACGGAACTATACTTCGCACTTTATCTTTGGGCGCGCCGCGCACAGTTCCCCCGCGTATTGGCAGACCTTGTTCTACACGTTGCATGGCTTGTCTCAACCAAACGTTTGTGCAGTGCATAAACTCGTAACCACAAGATTCTTCTGGCGCAATCGTAAGCGTGCCATTCCTAAGTGGGCATTTGTTTGCCTTCCGAATCAACGCGCGAAAATGCTTAAGCACACGAAAAGCTCAGTAGGAACAAATCCCACGCTCGTTGTACGCTCTTACCACGTGCAGGTCAAGCTCGCGCGTCCTCTGCCACCTTCGATCTGCTCGGTATACCTACCGACCAGGGATGATCGATTTACCTGGTGGATGCCAGCTCTTCCCATAACTAACTTCACTTTGAAAACGATAGCGGAAGAAACTATGGAGTGTTGGGTAGCTCAATACAGCTGTCCCGTTATGGTGACCAACGAGCAAGGACCACCATTCTTGTCGTGCTTTGCTAGGTTTCTTAAGGATTCGGGCTGTCGCCACCTTCAGGCCTCAACGTAGAATCCGGCCGCTAACTGCATGATGATGCTATTTCGTCGCCTATTGAAGGTACTGCTACGTGTGCACGCAGATCCTTCATGGTCCAAAACACTTTCTCTTGTCCTGCTAGGCATAACACTGCGACGTGGCGGATGTGACTCGCCACTCAATAAAGTCACCGCCCCTAACACATTGGCAAGTTGATCGACACCACATTTACAAGTTCTGTGCATATATTGGCTCTCGCACGAACACGCCTACATATCTGACTAGTGACATACCACTATTCTTAAGTATTTTCCACCCGTTTCCTCATACTTCACTCAATGACCTACATTGCTTACGGGACCTCATCGGACTAGTTCCTCATCAACATACCATATAAGTGATCTGATCACTATTTTTACCTCTCGCAATCTGTGTTCATGGACTACATACAACCTATGGGCTCTATGGGCCCACACTACTGTCTCCAACTTTACTACTCCCACTGTTGGTGCTGCTTATTCCGCTATCATGTACAATAATGCAATATGCTGATCATGCCCAAAAAGGCGTGTCTCGCTTTGTCGAGAATAAAATATTTATTTATTTATTTATTTATTTAACAAGCACAGCTAAAACCGAATTCGACGCAAAGGCAGCGCAGCTAGTCCCCTGTTGCACGCCGCATTTGCATGGACAACTGGTGAATCAAGTATCATCTACGCCCTCGTTTGAGTATGAAGTTACAACGACCGATTTGTGCACCAGGTGCAGAAGCTACGTTCGCCCCCACCATCTCAGATGAGACCAGTGTACATTCTCGTGAAGCTGGCTGGGTGTTCACACGTTCTCCGCGCAAACCTTGGAAGGCAGCCTCTTCAGTCGCCCTACGTAGGACCTTCCAAAGCGTTAGACTGTACGAACCAGACGTACCCGCTTGACGGCGGTGGCCAACTCGAAGGTATCACCATCCATCTCCTCTAACCAGATTTCATCGAAGAGGTCTCTGAGCATATCGCTACTATGAAGGCTTCTTGTGAGGCTACGAATAACCGCGACATATTACAAACAAGTATCATCCCTGCAGCGGGCAAAGGTTTAGGTTCACAGGCTATGATCTTCAGACGTTGCCGTCGGCTGCTTGAGCCCGTTGATCCCACGATCAATCACAGTGGTCTGGAGGTTCGTAAGCCTGGTAGATTTTCTGATTATGTACAGCGAAAAGGCATTATGTTTGTCAAAATTTACCCCGTTCTACATCGATAAAAGTTTGGAAAAAGTAAAGCGTAATATACGTCTAAAAATCAGAAATACTTACAAATTTATTCACGCAGATCCTTCGTTCGCTCTTGCTGGCTTGCTTTGAGTATTTTTCTGCTTTTTTGTCCACAGCTGTCTCAACGCTCTTCTTCGATTGAATGGTACTCACGAGCTATGTTTTCGAAGATGGCCTCGGACACCGAACATCTAGGAGCGGATTTGGATCGTTTCTCCGTGGGACGAGAGGCATTTCGCCGTGGGCCGAGAGTCGTGTTAATGCTGAGTGGGGTGAGCCGTAAAGAGCTCACGCGCAGGCGCACCGTTTGGCAGCAGGTAAGTTTTCGGTCCTGTCGGCTTAATTTATGGGCAAGCAAGGATTTTGTAATCCAACAAGCCAGCTCCAAGGGCTCACCGAAAGACTCCTTGCCCTGTAGTCAATAACTAATAAGCACCAAACGGTACAGCGGCGTACAACTGCCGGCGATTTCTCGTTTGACAAATACGCTCATCCATTTATTGGCACGGTTTTTCGCTGAGAACTTGGATTCACTCGTTATTTTCGATATCAAGGGCTTCCTACGTTTAGGCTCCTAGGGGACAGCGCGGCAACGCAACAGGAGGACAGCTACCCTTTGTGCACTTTGTCATTGTTTACCAAGTGTATAGTATTCGTTCTTGTTTTAGTCTTACCACCAGCTCGCCACCGAACCTTCCATTACTTTTCCACGCGATGGTACTGATCATGTCCCGCTTCGTTTGTCTGCGTACCCTCATAATTCATGGGATACAGTCCGCTGTGTCCGACATCAATTACCCTCTGATGTCGTCGCTTTACTTCTCACACCGTCTCGGAGTAGGGCTTACTTGACCTACAAATCTTCTGTTTAGACAAGCATACCAAGTCGCCCACTGGACGGTTTCAGTTTAGAGAGCAATCATATGGGTTTCCTTTAGACGCGCGTCAGGGAAGAACGTAAGGTGTTTCTCCGAACACTTTCATTGGACTGGCTGGCGCTTCTGCCCAGGGCTTCCAACCGGTGTCCCATTGGCTAGGTTGCATGCACGATGACCATGTCAACTACGATACGGAACTTTACGCTCTCGAAGGTAAATGCATAGCATGCGTTAGCGAAATTAGGCCACACTAAAAGCTTGGTGCTATACACTGACATGTCAGTAAAATGGCATGGACTTGTTCACAACTTTTACATCTATTTTCTTGGCTCCTCACATCTATTACTATTATTGTCTTAACAACACATTCTCTCCTGTACTACAATTACCATTATTTTGTTTTTGTTGGTTCCCTTCTCTTAACCTTTATTCTATTCACGTGGCCGGTACAGTGGGGACTGCTAGTGCAGGCCGCGTGGGCATTGATTGGTTGACCGTTATGTGATTCGTGTGTATTGATTTGGCTCCTCTCGGCTCCAAACCGCTCCCGCGAACTCCATCCTGGTTCAACGACGCATTGAAGAAGGAACACACATGGGAATTCTCCTACCGTTCCTGTCCAAATTGAACTTGAACTTGAACTGAAAAGGTATGTATTGAATTTTATCGCCGAGACTTCGTAATGCAGGACAAATACAGGATAAAGGAAAGTACACAAGTAGCTATTGCCGTTGCTCCACTTCTTTTGCGTAATTTTGCTAAGGCAATCATTTTCCCAAGTGTCATGTTCCATGGATCATTCGCGTATTTGAGAGACGAGAGGCTCACAAGGCAAGGTACAGAGCACTAAAAGTATATAGGCACATAGTCAGAGTTTGCTGCCTTAATAAATACTAAAAATATTTTTTCCTTTGTTAGCAATTGTTTGCTGCTTTTAACCTACCAAAAACAGTTATATAGTTGCGGATGTAAATGGCACGTACATCAAAGGTGCTTCTGTTAGCGGCAATCATCAGGTACGTAGTTAATTCTACAAGATTTGCTATCCCACATTTTTATGTACTGAACCCCTTGGTGTTACGATAGAATTAAACAACTTATAGCAATACGATGTTTCTCTCTACCTTGCGGTTTTGTTTTTGTCGTTAATCCCACTAATCCGTTGCACTTAAACATTCGCACCTGCTCTGCTAAGATTTATCAAGAAGTTACAATTGGGCAGCGTCTCATATACCTAGTTAACCAAGCGAAAATCGTCCATTTTAGTCTAAGGTTGTTCAGTCTAGTTCAAATGGCAGTACTAAGTTGTACGCTTGCTGGGATTGGGAAACCTGCCAGCAAAGTCCTTAGGACTCCCAATAGTATATTTTTAGGATTATTGTCAGCAGCCCATCGAAAGGTTGTGCTTGGTTTATTGTAATATCAAAAATTGGATTGAACATACAGTTGAGTGTGATGGTGACGACCCCCTTTCGAGAGCAATTAGTTGTTTCTGAGACGATAATGATTTCCACAACTCCAAAGCTTTGGCAACTTTCTGCATATTCCGGCGCGCGTTTGTACGTTAGTCTGGTTTCTTGATATAACTAAGTTAGTAGGTGGGGCTAAGATAACAAGAAATATAAGGCTGTTGTAGGACTAGTTAATAATAGTCCGAGACGGTGCGCGGAAGTACGCTCGGATATCAGAAGACAATGGGAGTCGGACACAGCGGATTTTATTCGATTGTCTACAATAAGAAGCAGACGGATGAAGCGAAGCGAGAGCGTACACGTGAGCGCGGGAACTTCCAAGGCAGTTGTGTAGAGCCGGTTGTAAGGAAGGTTAAAACAAGGAGTAATGTACAATCGGTCAAAACTAAATTGTACATGAAAGATAGCAGTTATCTTTTAGGGCGCTACCCTGTGCGCAAATCCCTAGATATCTTATTATTTTAACCTTAGTTTCAGAGGAATTTGTGGTGTGGAGCAAATTTTATTTTCCTTAGTCCTTTGGCAGTCCGTATAATGCTTAATTAGGATTTATTTAGTACTCTCAGATGATTAAGGGTGGAGTGCAGGTAGACCCTCGGTGGGCTGTTGAGAGACGGAAATGCCGGTGGAGAGTAGAAAGATTTGTTGTCAACTTTGTTGCTGTTTCTAGCTAATTGCCTTTGACTATTAAATGTTAACTCTGTCTGTGGTAGGTGTTTAGTTTCGAAGCCGTGTTCTTGTTACTCGCGTATTCTTTTTCCTCACAGAACAATCTTGGAAGCACATACATAGCCGAAACCGCAACAATTTAGAAAGAAAAATAAACGACGAGCGTTTTTAATCAATGGGATCAATGCCACACATGCAAAGATAGACAAAATGATAAATATATGAAGCAATGCACATGAGTATCGAACATATCATTTAGAGGGAAGCATCAGAGAAAATGCCAAAAGTCCCTCAGCAGAGACTTAAGGAACATTTAGCGCACTGTCAAGTCACATTGTACGGTGAAGGACATACTTGTCCAGCACAGCGAACGCAATGGGAGCGGAGGTACAACCGAATATACACAGCAGGTATGCGGATTTCCAGCACAATAGAAGGCAGCGTAGGCAAACCGCAACAGCACAAGCGAGACAGGACGGCAGAGCAGGAATTTGGAAGAAGTGTCTTCTATTAGTTTTTATGCACTTCAAACAAACCTTACAAAATGGTGTCGCGGTAAAACTGAGTACTCGCAATAAAAATAGGTAAGCCCTAAGAACCACGGCCTAATTGCCTCCATCGTGTTTGAATTTATAAGAAAACGCTCAAAGTAGCTGTTTAAGTAACGATTACAACTAGTTTAGAAGGGAAAAGAAACAAACCGGCCTGAAATTGTTTGTCTAGAAGCAACGGCTTAGCAAGTGCACTTAGCTTCTAATGCCTCAGCCTCGGTTGATTGAATGGAATGAGCAACCACCGGGAACCAAGCAAAGTAAGTGAGTCTGTACCTCCAAAATTAAGTTTAAGATAAGCTTGTTTAAGGCGGCGAATACTCACAGATTTCTTCGATCCGTTTTTGCAGATTGAAGTATTTGTGCTTTTGTAACAACATCTTAAAGGGACTTCATAGAGAGGTGTTCACGGCTTCCAGACTGATTGATGCGAATGGAAACAAACAAAGCACTGTGCAACACCAGATAAATTCGTGGGTCGCGATCATAGTTTCTAGTGTACGTAAGTAGAATGGCTCGAATGTGCTGCTTAAGGCGTTAAGCCTAAGAAACAGAATTTCATTCTCCAGTGACCCGGGAATCCAATATCACCTCAGCTGGTAGTCTAAGAGTCGTGCCAGAGATAAGTTCTGCAGGGTAACATCCCAAGTCCTCTTTGAAAATATTACAACTACCAAGAAGTACGGCTAGGATACGCTCAACCCAACCTGTGTCAGGTAAACTGGCTGTGATGACGGCTTTTAGCCGTCGATGAAAAAGCTAGACAAAGCCAGTTGCAGCGGGACGCTAAGTGGTTGTCCGAATGTGAGTACAACCCAGTAAGCGATTAAAGACACGGAACAAACTGGAGCTGAATTGAGATCCCTGTCGATGGGGATCGCAGCTGGTAAACCAAAAAGCAAGCAGCTGCCCAAGTACGGATGTCCCGAGTAACATTGCGCCAAACCAATAGTGCGGTTACGAGTTTAAGCGATGCACGAAGGTCTGGATGAGACAAGCCGTGCAACGTGTAAAACACGGTCTGCCGAAACTCGCGTAGAACGACTGGGAGCTGTGTGCCCAGAGACAAATCGCAGAGCATAGTTCCGTCTGATGATGTCAGCGGAACGGGTCGTATGTCCAATGAGGGAGACCTGCGTAGTAGATCAACCCCAGGACTGTTGAGTTGTGCTGTGGCCAAGACTGTCAATTTGATAGCTATGCCGGCGTCAGCGGAGATAGCTTGGTTGCGGGAAAGTGCATAGAAGACGGCGTTGTGCACACCTGAGACGTGCCGTATATAGGTCGTAAACTGAGCGATACAGTCAAGGTGGCGCGACTCTCTAGGACAGTATCGGTTGGTAGTCGAGCCGAGCAGGTAAGTGAGGGGTTTGTGGTCGGTGAAGACGACAAAGGAGCGGCCTTCTAGGACGTATCGAAAGTGACGTATCGCTAAATATGCGGATAGTAGTTCTCTACCGAACGCGCTGTAGCGAGATTCGGTAGGTTGTAGGCGTTTGGAGAAAAACGCTAAGGGCTGCCACTTGTCGGCTACTGGTTGCTGCAAAATAGCGCCGACTGTCACTTCCGAGGTGTCAATATTGAGGGACAGTGGGGTGGCCGGATCGTGATGCGCTATAGAAGCTATGTTGGCGATAGCCTCTTTCAGCGACTTAAAAGCAGCGCGCGCTGCGGCGGGAAATTCGAATTTCTTGAGTTTCCCTTGGAGTAGGTCTGTATGGGGTGGCATCAGCAAGGCCCGGTTGGGTACGAACCGTCGGTAAAAGTTGAAAAGCCCATCAAAACGTCTGAGCAGTTTGAAAGAAGGAGGCTCGGTGTGGTCGATGACGGATTGCATTTTATCCTGTAGTGGCGCGACACCTGCAGAAGAGATACGATGGCCGAGGATGTTTACTGAACCGGCACCAAATGAACACTTTTCTGCGTTGATCGTCACCCCGTGTTGAGATGATGAAAAGTGTTCGTATGTGGCGCCTGTTCTCTCCTCTTGAAGAGCTTGCGATTAAAATGTAGTCAAGAAAAGCCTAAACGAAGGCTAAGCAACGACAAACTTGGTTGATGATGCGCTGAAAAGTTGGCGCGGCATACTCCAAGTCCAAATTTGCCTTCGTTTCCGCTGGACCAAGCGTTGCTCGCGGATCTCGGTTGCATAGTGCTTAGGGCGTCAACCATGAGCCACTAGGCTCTGAGTTCCAGCCCAACTCAGGCTATGTCCAACTGATGAGTCCCAACTAGGACGAAACCGCGGTCTTGGAGTGCCAGTGTTGGGGTGAGCAACACCATAATGTTTCCATTTTGCTCGGCATTCTTGAGACCAAATGGCAGGCGCAAAACTCGAACGCACCAATTGGAGTCGTCACGGCAGTTTTAGCGATGTCCGCTTCGGCTACCGGAATTTGGTTGTTTACGCGTACCAAGTCGATTTTGTTGAAGACATTTTTAGCCGCCAAACTGGCGGTGAGATCCACTATGTGTGGGCTCGGGTAGCGATAAAGTGGTTTAAGCGCACTCAAGGTTCTATAGTCACCGCAAGGACGCCAGTCCCCCATGACCTTCTTTGGGACCATGTGCAGAGGCGAGGCCCATGAGCTGTTGGACGGTCTGACGATACCGAGCTGAAGTATGTGATCAAATGCAGCTCGTTTTGCACGTAGTTTGTTAGGAGCAAGCCGTCTTGGTCGTGCGCTAACTGGCTGACCACGCGTGACTATATGATGAGCGACCTCTGTCGTGACTGGCGGAAGCTCTGCTGCTGGTCGTACCAGTCGCGGGCATTCAGATATTAGGTTCGCATAATCTGATGGTACATCAGCGATTCGAAAAACGGGACGGCTTATCGGGGCGTCCGTAAGAACGCATTCCACCCCTAGTTTAGTACGGTCGTCTAAAAGCTTGCGGCGACCAGCATCAACAAGCAACCCAAAATGTCGGAGAAAATTGATACCGATAATTGCTAAGGCTACAAATGCAAACATGAAGAGCCACTGAAAATATCGGCGCAGATTGAGGTCCAGGTACATCACGTGCTGACCGAATGAAGCTATCGGAAAACCGTTGGCCACACGCAAATTGTACATAAGATCTGAGTGTTTTTCATTAGCGGTCGCTGGGATGACGCTGACTTCCCCTCCCGTGTCGATGAGGAACGTGATGGAAGAACGTCCATCCTTAACATAAAATAGGCGATTGGCTTTGTTATTAACGGATACGTTTGTCGTGTTAGGATGCGGGCTATTCGCTTACCTTGAAGCAGCTTGTTCGTGCCTAATGCAGGGAGCCCGACAACGTCTGGCTGTTTCACTATATTGGCGGTGATACCAACAT